TGCCTTCTCTCTTAAATGACCATAACATAATGGTTTGATGATTGGTAACCTTCATCCCTCTAGGTAGATATGAGTTAACATTCCAAAAAAAACAGAAGGGCCTAGTGAATCGTCATTAAAATGGCCGGCGATCTTCGCCGTTTTACTATTGAGGAAGCAAACCCCGCCCCTCAGTTCACACAGAAGTTAACGAAGCAAATCAACTCTGCTCTATACAGGTTATCTCACAAAAATATACCGATTCTTTGATTTCTATTAACTCTTTTATGTGGAGAGCTTTTGCGGCCGTTCGAACACCATCCTGTGGCGGCTTCGACTCTCATTTACACTACGAGAGAATCCGTTCGCTGCTGTTATCGTAAAACTGTAAAGATTTATATTAGGCTTTGAGCCATGAAGGACCTATTTTGCCTCTCAAAGTAAAGCAAGCCAATTTAACTCTTACACTACAATACCACCCGTAATTTGTGAAAAAAAAATGGCGGCGCACTTAACTCACGCGGCGCCGCCGCAGTTAGGTGACAAACGCCGCGTCGCGCGACAAAAGTAGGCGGAAAAGCGGCATTTGTCGCCTAACTTTGTCGCGCAACGTCTATTTGGTAAAGACCAAGTTGGGTGGCAACAACGAATTTATTAACAGGGAATAGTGACGAACAGCGACTGGGCGATAGTGACGACTCCAGAACTTGGTATCCAGGCTCTTTTATACAGCCAAATTGGGCGTGTATAGCCTGGATGCCAACTTCTGGCCAGGAATGCTATCAATGCAGTAGAGTTTCGCCTACTTGAAAGTAGGCGCCGCCGAGTGCATTATCAAGGGCCATGAGGGTGACCCGGCGGCTAAACAGGTGTATGGCAATCTACAACTTGTCCATGACAGAATGATACATTCACATAATCGAAGACAGTCGTTAATAAATATTATTAACGACACTGGGGGCGGGGCGGAAGGAGTGCATGATGCACGATATATATATTTCTACTGTAGAATGGAGAAGTCTATGAAATGTGTCAACAATGGAACTAGCGAACAAATTTTATTAGAAAAATAGAAGCAAGGTAATAAAATAGCACATGAAAAAAAAGATTTTTTTTCAGTACGATAATGGGTGATGAGTGTAAACAAAAAAGGTACCACATGAGAAAAATAATCTTTTCAGAATATTAATACATTAATGCAACAACCAACAACAAATCAAGTATGGAATACAAAATCGATCTACTGGGCGGGATTTGCATGATTGCAGTGGCATCTTTTGCAGATGCCCTTTTTCTTGTATACCTTGCGTACACGATCGGGGTACATACGTTGCCACGGCATTGTGATGCATGATGCCCCGCGAAGTAGCAGACATCACAATACTGTGGAGTTTCCACGGGAGGACATCCATTGGGCGGTGTTGGCATCGTTGGAAGCGGACGCTGCTTCTCCTCGACTATTTCGATCTTGTTTGCGATGCCGTCCATCTGCTGGGTCAAAACGCGAAGCTTGTCCTCGATCCTATTTAGACGGTGTTCATTGCTCTTCTGAGTATCCAGGATGACGTGGAACATGTCCATCACATCTTTGCTGGAGACATAGCCCCGATGTTCTTGCGATAGCGCCAAGGGACGCAGGGTCACCTTGGGCATTGGAACGAGCGCCGCACTTCTGCCTGGAATGAGAACAGTATCGAGCTTGGTAATTTTTACCTGGGGCTCTCCATTCTCTTCCTGGTCAACAGTAGGATTCGGAGACGTGGTTTCAGGTCTTCTCTTCTTTGGAGTCGATTGCAGCCGTCTTGCGTTTCTGGACGGTCGTTGCTTCTTCGCGATGGGCGGCCTCGAGCATAGAGAAGTCGTTTTGTGAGCAGCAAGCTGATCCATTTCCATGCCAATTGATAAGTCCAGAAGATCCTCTTCGTCGGAAACGTGGATTGGAGTAGCCATAGTTGCTGTGAGCAGTAGAAGTTGGGTGTGCATGGAAGTGTTGCCTTTTTATACGAAGATGTGGTTCGACCTAGGCATCGTAAATTTGCCGGCTAGGTCTTTGGAGTGGTTCGACATTCTTTCTGGCAGATTTTCGCAGAACAGAATTATTGCTTTGTACATCACCGCCTGCAATTAGGCGTATTGCTAGGCAATGATGCCTGAGGGGACTAGCGAGAGTGCAGATATTATGTACATGTGAGGGTGCTGCATAATGTTATGTCCTAGAAGGGTATACATTTGCGAAATAGAGCAGGTCCACAGATTAGTGTAGTAGCTATGGACAATGCTACTACAGCTACTGCTGTAAGCGAAGTGGTCCACCAGTGAGACATAACTTGTGCTATATTGCTGAGGTCAGGAATGTTGATTAAGTCCACGTAATTAGCTTTTTCGATGCTGGCGTGCTCCAAATCGTCTTTCCATATGGAATGTTAGTAAAGCGATCCGATGATGTGCAAATCATGTTTTCGTGATCCGCTTTGGATGCTACATTGAGCAGCATAATTGGCGGTATTGGAACTGATCAGTACGGTCGTATTATTTGCCTTTGGTCCGCAATCCATCGTGTAGTGATGATCAGTGCAGGCAACTTCCGCAATTGTCCTGATTTTGGAAGTGCATGTGAAGACCAGCTTTGCTCCTTGGAGGCAGTTGTAGCAACCTTTCGCTTCGGAGGCGTGGATCTCGCATTTGGTGGGTATGATGACCGTAGCAGTTTTCCATCTGGCTTCAGTCGATAAGGAAACTTCTGCGACGGAGGTGTGGCTTACAACTGTTACTGAATTTTTGTCGGCTTCCAGAGAAAATTCTGAGTTGTGCAGGGGTAGCATAGTATCCAAGGAGTCCATCCTTTCTGTGATGTTGACATTGGCACGGTAGCAAACAGCGACTGTGGATCTTGAGGTGCATTTGCACGTATCCACGACACGGCACTTTGTTAAATTTTTTGCGACTTCTGATGTGCTGCACTTGACTGCGAACGTGTCGTCGGACGGGAACATCATAGTCTGCGGGTTGGTACGGTTGTACACCTGGACGAACTTCCGATCCAAGATGGAAATTGTGGGAGCGGTAATGAAGTCAAGGGTGAAGTTCATCTTGTCGATGCATACTGTTTCTTGCGGTAATATGTCCATGTTTGTCTCCACTTCCCTGCCCGTAACGAAGGTTAATCGAGCTCGTATTCGTGCTTTTTCGTTCCACACAGGACAGGAAAAGACTTTGTAGATGAGGTCATCCTTCGGTTCTGAGTAGGTACGGGAAAATAGACAGCCTGGCATTGTTAAGAGGCAACCACAACCAATTCCTCCGCACGATTCTTGGCATCGTGTCACTCCAGGAAGGTAGTATGAGCCGTTTAATTCCGGAACGAACGAGTTTTGCGCGATTGTGCGGCATCTTTGTTGCGTGCAACTCCCGGCTTGAGCGCATCGTTTGGAGGAAACTGTTGTCAGCTCAACATTCCTGGTAAAGAAGTGAGTAACAGGTTTGCATTCAAATCTTATGCTGTCGAGTTGTATGTGTAATGTCGCGATCAGTTCTTCTTTGTACATGATCTTCATGCAAACTTCGCGTGAAGCTGCTCATTGCGAAGGTATGCTCCTCGAAACTCTTACATCTTGAATCTCCATAAAAGTCGGTACAGATTAGATCCTTGGTGTTAAGAACATGAGTGTGCTGACAGCAGCTTGTTACTGCCAGTAATGAAAGCGAGAAGATGAGCTTGGATCGCGTCGAATGACCGCCGGAAGTTTTCCTTGGACGTGCTTGCGTATCGGTATTCGGATGCATTTCCAGATTTTCGGCTTGCTCTGTTGTCGTAGAATCCATCGTTGTATGCTTCGAGTCCTTGAGCGAACGGCATCTTTGTTTGAGCATGACTGCTGCACGTGCCACCAGATATGTGGAGATGGTGGTGAGTAGTGTAATGATGTAAATGACCGTAGCTACCACTGCGATAGTTGTTTTCGGAAAACAGCGTGGATTGCCAAGTAGAAGGGGACAGAAGGTGCAATGTATGGAATTGCCCACTGATTGCTCTGGGTACCTCACTTCTTCTTCGTATAGTGTGGTATTCGTGATAGCACGCCATTTTACGGAATATGGGTTGGTTAGCTGGTGTGGCGGTAGATATCTTTGTATGGGTTGCTGATCCGTGTGTATGCTCTGACAATGAATGCAATTGACGCATACTTCACTCCTGCTGTTTAGGTCCGGAATCGACGATAAGTTGAGTATGAATCCAGTGTTCGTGCAGTTCAGCACTTGTCCTTGTGCAGACTGTACAAATGCGCATGCTGTCAAGGCTAGTAAAATGGTGAGCGCATTCCATGAACGACGTTTCGGCAATACCACATTTTTGTTATAATTGATGGGTTTTTTAGCCTTTCTTTCAAGAGGTTTGCGTTGCGGTAGGGCTAGTATGCTACTCAGAGGTTCCTCATTGTCATGTGAAGTGCTTGTCATTGTGTTCGGATCCATTGTGGCGCGAATTTCCAGTGGAATGAGGCGATTGTAGGACGCTGTACGCATCTCCCAGTTCCGGTTTTAAGTACGGCGCTTCGTACTTCCCCATCCTTGCTTTTGACTAAGTCCTCGATCACACCCATTGGCTAGTGGTCTCTGGATGTCTTCAGATCATCATCGATAGGCACAATGTCGCCAACGCACGGATTATTTTTCGATGACTTTTAATTGCTTCCATAAAGTACGTGGCGTTCGCGCAGTTCTAAGAGATACTCTGTTTTCCATTTGTCCCAGAACTTGTTGGTAAGTGTCTCTGCATCAGAAATGGCCTTCTTTGCGTCCAATTGCGTGGAAATTCTCGGAGTAGGTTGGTATGGAGGGTCTTCCTGATGTTGTTCGTCTTGTCGTACAACTTCGATGCCATGTCGAATGTTTTTGTACACGAAGTCGATTGGGCGAAGTACTTCATTGTTGTCAGCAGCTTCTCCGATTGTCGTTAATGGTCGTGAATTTACTGCAGCTTCAATCTCGCAAAGGACTGTGGAAAAAAATTCTTCTGAGATCTTTCGTCTTCCTATCGTTTTGAGCAAGGCCTTTTTGACTGTCCCGACCATTCTTTCCCTTTCCCTTGCTCCTCCCATCCATCTAAAAGCTGGTGGAATGAAGTTCCATTGAATGTTGTGTTTGGCAAGAAAGAGTGATGCTGGTGAGCATGAGGGCGGATCATCGCGCCGAAGGATGGTTTCCGTCAGGCGAAAGTTGGTGCCGTTGTCGCTTATCCTCAGCGGAACACCTCTTCTTGCCGTGAAGCGCTTGAAAACTAACAGGAAGTTTCTTGCTGACAAGTCTTTCGCTACTTCCAGGTGTATCATTCGTGTCACCAAGCAGGTAAATAGGGCGACATATCGTTTTCCGTCCTCATCACTTGCATCTTTGATGGTGATTGGTCCCATGAAATCCACTCCAGTGAAGCTGAAAGGCGGCGACCGTGTAACCCTTTCGGAAGGTAGTGGTCCCATGTGTGGGTATTTGTAAGGAACCGCATTATAGCGTTGACAGATGACGCAGTTTCGGACAATCTTTTTGCAGAAAGTTTTGTCTGCTGGGATCCAGAACTTCTTGCGGAGAGCATTGACTAGCTGGTTGACGCCACAATGAAACAAGTCTTTATGTAGCTGCGCCGCAATTCTAGCGTTCAGTAGTCCTTTGCGGGGAAGGTAGATTGGATTGATGGTGTCGTAGTTCAAATCCGAGTTTTGTAGGCGACCAAATTTTCTAGTAATTCCATGTAGGTCTTCCTTGATGGTCTTGTTTTTGCAGCTGTTTATGAAGGATTGCAGATCAGATTGCTGTTGCTCTTCTCGAAGTAGGTGGCGTTCTGCGATTATCATCTCTTGGGCATTCGGAATGCCGCCGAACGTTTCGCAGTGCTCGTCAAGTTGATAGAGTTTGCCTTTGCTGATTTTGCGTACAAATCGTAAGGAATAGGCAACAATCCTTTTGAGCTTGTCATAGCTACTGACTGCTTTAGTAGGCCAGATTCTTAGTTGCCTTGTCAGGGTGGTGAAAGGTGTTACCATAGTGGCAATTGTTGCGAGAGAGTCTTCTTCTTCTGCTTGACTTAGCTGTTCTACCTGACGAACAGGCCAATGTTGCTCCTGCTCATTGAGCCATCGAGGTCCTTTGAACCATACGTGATCGCTGGCTTCTGCTTGTGAAAGACCGCGGGTTGCATGATCAGCAACATTTTCTTCTGTGGGAACTTGGTAAATTTGGACATGCCGGTATTGTTCAAGACGTTCTCTAGTCAGCTGTATCTTCTGTGTCAAGTTGGTGACAAGAGAAGGAAGTCGCTTTTTGGAGTGGATCCAGGCGAGGGCTATGGTAGAGTCGCTGAACAGGTTGATTTTATCGAACTTCAGTCCGCTCTTGGTTACAATGTATTCCAGCAAATTCATTCCGATAAATATGGCTAGCAGTTCGAGCTTTGGTATTGTTTGAGTTGTTCCGATGGGGGCCTTTGACTCTGCGCAGTATAGTCTTGTATAGCGCTCTCCAGCTTGTGTATCCGCTGTAATGTAAGCAACGCAAGCATAGACTCTTTTCGAGCTGTCGACGAACATTGAAAGTGTGCGGGATGTGCATCCTTCTTGCTGTGTTACTCGTCGAGGTAGTTGGATGGAAAAGTGGATCATTTCTTTCTTGATTGCATCCCAGGTATCGCAGTCTGCCTTTGACAATGGATCGTCCCACGCCTGTTTCTTCTTGTGTAAGTCTTGAAGAAACGTTTTTGCCGTGGTAAGCAAGGGTGTGAGTAATCCTAAGGGATCGAAGCAGAGTCCATTGATTTGGCTGAGGACGTATCGTTTGTTCGTTTTTGTATACGGTTTTGTAGCGCATACCAGACCTATTTGATCATCGTTGCTGTACCAGTGCAAGCCCAAGACTTTTATATTAGTTGAAGTAGCACGATCATGCGTTGGGATCTTGTAATTGACTTGTGCACTGTTGGAGAGGTAGTCTCGAAGGTTCATTTCAACTTTGTTGAACACTTCCTTAGATTCATGATACTTCTTGAGGAGTTCTTCGTTGTTCTTTCCTTCAACTATGACGTTGTCGACATACAGCATATCTGATATCTCTCGAAATGTGTTGTTGGTGAATGACTCAAGATGTTTGAGCAGCGCTTGATTCAGTATTGCTGGTCCAGCATTGATTCCGAACGGTACTCGGCAGAATCTGTAGTATCTGATATTACTACCGATGGGAGACTTAGATGTGTCCTTCATCCACAAGAATCCTGTCGCCTCTCTGTGTTCAATAGGTAACTGGATCTGCAGGAACGCTTTCTGGATATCCGCAACCATTGTATAATGGTAAGTTCGGAACTTCAGTAGGATGTCGAAGATGCAGGAAGTCAGCGAGTATCCTTGATGTATGACATCATTCAAGCTTAGTTCTCCTTTCGCATGTGAGGACGCGTCGAAGACGACGCGGAGTTGTGTGGATTTCCCCGGCGTCCAAACATGACGGTGAGGCAAATAAAATGTGGTTACGCCAGCTGTACTATGCTCGTGAACTTCTTCGATGAATCCTTGATGCCGGTAATCTTGTAGTGCTTCGTTATACAGGCTCATTTTTTCCGAGTCGTTTTGAAGTATCCGAATTAGGGCTTGAAGGCGTTTGACTGCCACGTTGAAGTTGCTCTTCAACTGAGTGACGTTGTCCAGAAATGGGAATCCTGCTGTGTACCATTTTCAATTGAATTTGTGCTTCTGTAGTTATTCATAAACTGCAGAACTGCTTCTTCGTCACTGTCCTTGTCCACTTTGGTACCGAGGGATTCTAGTTCGTACAAGTTCTTAATGTCCCGCTTGTATTCTTCCTTTGCAGTGTTGACTATAGGAGTCGCAACGAGTATTGTATTCGTATTTGTCGAAGCTTTAATGCCTTGGATTGAACTCTTTCCTGAGATTGCATAACCGAATACTGTCGGTGTGAGTATCAAGCCTGATGGCAGAGTTACGCAACGACGATCTCTGAGTATGAAGTCGTCGATTAGATCTTGGTCTACGAGAATGTCGGGAGTGATGACCTTGTCTTCAAGTGCGGGCTGTGCTATTTTGATCTGTTCCTTTCGAATAAAACTTCTATCGTCGGCGCTCAGCTTCGCTGTACTTATAGCTGAGGTTAAAGGAGTCTTCGTGTGTATTGAGATGTCCTTTATTAGCCGTCCGTCTATGACATTTCTGAGCGTAATTGATACTTCGTCAGAGTTTAATGTCTCAGCTTTTCCTCCAAAGCCGCTTACGGTAAAGCTGGCTGTCTTAATCAGTGGGAGTTCAAGATTTAAGCTTTTCTCAGTAGTGATGAAGCTTTTTTGAGCGCCTGTGTCGAAGAATATGGTAACAGATTCGTAATCCATCGTATCGAAGTTGAAGGCCAGAGCTGTAGCTGTCATCAGTACATATTGTAATCCATCTGACTCATTTCTCACATCCAAATTGGGTGAAATGACTTCGGCATTCTGTGATGTCTTTGTTCTCCCTCCAGATGGTCGTTTGATGTTGTTAAACCGTGACTGTGTCGTTGTCGACGAGGTTGGATTCATGGAGAATCGACCAACAGTACATAGAGCTGAATGGTGGTCCTTGTTGCACCTGGGACAAGGTCCTAGATTCTTGCAATTACTTGATTGATGACTGCTGTCAAAGCATTTCCAGCACACTCTTCTCTTGATGGCTTCAGTTCGACGCATTTCCGGAGTTTTCAAAGTTGGACATTGCGGAAGCCTGTGGGACGAGTTTCCACATAGGCAAGGAATTTGCGATCCGTTTTTCTGGCCAATATTCCTAGCAGGCTCAAATCTTGGTGTTCGTGTACGCATATCCTTGAAATTTGACCGACTGGTTTGGCTCGGAGTCATACGATCGTGTAATGTTCCCGTCGTGAGCGCAAGTGTTTCGTAAGTGCAACAGCGTTTTCCAGAATTTCCAGGATCTCATCGGTTGACAGAGACTTTCCATCCTTCTGCTCTTTCCTGAGTACCTCTTTACTCATAGACTCTGGGAATTTCGACAGGATCAGTCTTCTCCACATTCGGCCGTTATCCAGTGAAACTCCAGCGCACTCAATATGGGTGAGTTTTTCGTTCACGTCCGTAAGGGTCCTTCGGCAACTGGTAGCGTCTTCTCTTGCTCGGGGTAGTTTCTCGAGCTCAGTGATCAGCAAGTCCGCTATGCATCCAGATTTGTTGAATCGTTTGTCGAGAAGCGTTATGGCTTTTTCGTAGTTTTCTCCTACTACTGGCATGTTTCCGAGCATTGATGCCACCGATCCTTTCAGTGCTTGCCTCAGGAAGAGGAATTTGTCAATGTCACTGAGCTGTGGATTGCTGTGAATTAGTGAATTGTAAATCGTCCAGAATGTTGGGTAGTCTTTGTAATTTCCGTTGAATGTCGGAACTTCAAGTGTCGGTAGGCCCACTTTGTTCTCGCTGTATTGTCTGGAGGAGAGAGTACTAGCTGTGTCCGTATCTTGTGGTGGAGTCTGGGCGGTTGAAGAAGGGAGATTGTCTATCAGGCTTGACTGTTTCTCGAGTTCCCTCATCCGATATTTCAACTTGCTTGTCCAGTGTATTGCTTCTAGTTGTACACGATGAGCTTCGGTTGTTAAGAAGGAATCTAGATCATTCATCAGCTTTTCTCTCTCTGATTGGTCCTTCTTGGCGCCAATGAAAGTCATGGCATTTTGCATGCGGACCGCCAGGTTTTCTAGCAGACACGTGAGAGAGATCTATATTACGTCGATTTCCGCCATTTTGTCGGCTATGAAAACATTGTATTCCGTTACTTTGTTGGGGAATTCAAATGCTCTGTCTATACTCAGGACTCTGCTCTCGAGGCTATTGACTGCAGAGCTTGCCATTAAGATGGGCGTCTTGAATCCAGCCAAATGAACATAGTTTGTCTCGTTCGCATGGACTGAATGCAGGTAAAAAGCTTGAAGTAGCTTCTTTTGCTGAGCTATGGAATGACCTGATAGCTAGCAGCAAGCTTTTGATTTGACTGTTGTTGATCAACCGTCAAGGAGCTTGGGGGGTCGTCTGCTGACTGTGGATTGACCAGGCAGCTAGTTTGACCTCTTTACTAAGCTGTGGATTGGACCTGACAGCTTAATAAGGTGACTCTTGTATGTGAAAGTGGATGAACCAGCAATCACAGAGTCTTTTTTGGCTGTTGGAAGCCAAAAAAATTCGAGGAGTTCTTTTACTAACTGTGGATGAACCAGTCAATTAGTTAGAAAACCTCTGCTAAGCTATGGATAGGACCTGATAGCTTAGCAAGACTCGTATTAGTAAAAGTGGATGAACCAACAATTACTAGTCGTTAGTTCGCAATTTACAAGATTTCCGCGAAGCGTTGTCGTGCTACGACATTGACCAGTCCAAGAGAAAGCACCGATCAGCACTCCTGGCGCAACGTTACTTTGGCCTAATGCATCTGCGCCACCCCTCCCCCCCCCCCATTCTCGCGCCGTGTCACTTCAGCACCGTAGTATTTTCAAGCCACAAAATTCGAGTGCGGCGTGCCCTTCAAAGAAGCCGCCGTGCGAGGTTTGAGTCTTGACGTGTGGCCTGGTCGCGTTGCTACGATTACGATAGCGAAGCTTAGATTATCACATAGTGCGATTACTGCGTGAGAAGGAGAGTAAATGCCAATGCTAATGAACTCAAATTTTCACCAATTTGAAAAAAGACTGAACAAAGTGCAACGCGCGTGATTGCTCCTGACATACCCTTTGATTCAACTGGATTGGCGGCGAAAAGGCGGGGCTTCGTGACCTAATCAAGGCTAGAGAATGATCAGAAAGCACGTTAGCGAGAGACACGCAGACGGCATCGCAGACGCGAGCGGTCGTCTTCCAGCCGCCCACTTGTCGAATCAAAGGGTAGCGTATAAGTATTAGGTTGGTGCAAAAGTAATGGACGATTTGCGAATTCTCACTTTGACGTGCTATAACTTTTTTAAGAATTCACATTTCGGAATGCGGTAAAAACTATCAGAAGCAGCAAACCTTCTGCAATGCAACGCACATTTACTTATACTTATATCACGAACGGGCAGAAAAATATGGTTTGAAAAACAAAAAAGGTTCTTCTGCTAGAACCTTGTTTTTACAATTCATATCTTCCTTCAAAGTTTATTAGTATGAATGATAAGTAGCCTATCTTGTAGCCGCAAGCCAGTAGCACAAAACACAACGAGAAGAATTCTGACAAAAAGGTTTGCGAAAAAGAAAAAAATTGAAATTTGAAACTTCTCACTTTTTTTGAACATTTTTTAGTGTGCCTCAAAGTCCCGAATATAGAATTTTTTGATTTTCTACGTACTAAACAGCTGGATGTTTTTTCAAAAACTGCTAATAGGATGCCCTAGCCATACGCTTACCGAATTGAGCAAAGCTCCGGTGATTGACTTCTTTAGAGAAAATTATGGGTCATAAAATGACCGTAACAGCTACCCATGTTTAGGCCCCGATATCTCAGTCTGGATAACCTCAAAGATTACAGTCAAGTATGCATAATGTAGATAATTTCTATTGCATACAATAGCTAAGATTTCAAAGAAGAGCAATTGATAGCGCTTGAATTCTGGCCAAAAAAGTGGGTGCAATGAAATTCTGAGTTTGGACACGGTTATTTGAAGCTCAGTAACTTTATAACAGACTAGCTGGCTTACCCGGCTCCGCCGTATCCGGACCAAACTTGGCACACATACACTTCGGGCCCCGGCGGGTGTCACAGTCCACTTTTCGTTATCGATCGATGTCGATTTTTCCGATTTTTATCGATTTTTTTGCAGAGTTCACCTACAGGGCTAGGAGTTGGCACAGGGGGGGGGGAAGTGAGCATGGGGATTCCGAATACAATATTAGTTTTCAAAATTATCGATTACTTTTATTGATTTTATCGATTTTTTGTAAATTTTGACATGCGAGGCTGGGATTTTGCACAGGGGGGTAATCGAGCATGCTGATTACGAACACAATATTAGTTTTCAGGATCGTCCATTACTTTTATCGATTTTATCGATTTTTTGAAAATTTGAGCTAGGGGGCTGGAATTTGGCACAGGGGTGTAATCGAGCATGCTGATCACCCCCCTTGGGGATGATCAGCATGCTCGATTACCCCCCCCTGTGCCAACTCCCAGCCCCCTAGCTCAAACTTTGCAAAAAAATCGATAAAATCGATAAAAGTAATCGATAATCCTGAAAACCAATATTGTATTCGGAATCCCCATGCTCGATTACCCCCCTGTGCCAACTCCCAGCCCCGTAGCTCAAACTTTGCAAAAAATCCATAAAATCGATAAAAGTAATCGATAATCCTGAAAACCAATATTGCATTCGGAATCCCCATGCTCGATTACCCCCCTGTGCGAACTCCCAGCCCCGTAGCTCAAACTTTGCAAAAAAATCGATAAAATCGATAGAAGTAATCGATAATCCTGAAAACCAATATTGTATTCGGAATCCCCATGCTCGATTACCCCCCTGTGCCAACTCCCAGCCCCGTAGGTGAACTCAGCAAAAAAATCGATAAAAATCGATAAAATCGATATCGATCGATAACGAAGAGTAGCCTATGACACCCGCCGGGGCCCGAAGTGTATGTGTGCCAAGTTTGGTCCGGATCGGTTCAGAAATAAAAATTTCTATTCGGAACATACGTACATACATACATACAGACAGACATACATACATACAAACAGACATTCAGCTTTATATCCTCTTGATGGTACACTACATCTATTTGAAGGAAGAAGTTTTGATGGAAAAAAGTTGCCCTGAAAAAGGCTTGGAAAATCGGCCATTATTTCTGCACCAATCTAATACTTGACATGTTCATTCAGTACATACCTTACATCCTTGAATTCAACAGAAATGCCGACCTCAAGTATACGCGTCCAGATTCTTGACCGCTACCTAGTCCTACATTAGAAACTGAAATGACGATCTATCGTCCTTGAGCTAAGTCGGTTCTCAGGTCTATGGGAAGCAAATCCGGACAATCCGCACAACAGAGATCACGCAAACAAGTGGTACTACGCCCCACGATCTGTCAACGTGGATTGGCTCAGCGGACAGGTTAAACACTTTTTGCATTTTGTCAGTCAAATATAATGTCACTGACTCAGCTCGCTTGGGGTGCCCATTGGGCCGTCCCGGCTGCTTCCGTTGGAGGAACTGATGGTTTCAGTGCAGTGCACTTCCCAACCATAGGAACATTCGCCAACATTCCAGATGATTACGACTAAGCGCCTTCCTTCACAGAAACTGCAAGATCAACTTAATTCAAATGTTTCTTCTCTCATCATTAAACCGAGCAGGATTTGCACATTTAGGCGCCCCATATTCCCTATGTCTAAAGTGAAATGTTACTTGCTACCCTTACTAATTTATTTCTCACTTACTGCATTGTTCATCATCGTCCTCAAAATGGACGATTTTGTTTGTTTGCTTGAATGCTTCTAATGTGGCATACAGATAATCTCCATAAATCTCGACTTTCGCACTGTTTGCGGTTGTTGTCGTTTGTTGGATCTCTTTTATAGTCCTTGGAAAATGTAATTGGTAGCACATTGCTCTTCAAAGGAATTCACGTTTTGCTATACTTACAACCTCTACTAATCTCTTCTGGAAGGGACGGGAGGGGTAGGTGGAGAAAGGAAGGGCCGCATGCACTAACATCGCCGCGGGGAGGGGATCACGGCTTAGAACAAAGCTTTATATTTCGAAACACTATTTACCTGGATTTCACGTTGTGTACCTATCCGTAAGTATTCCTACTACACTTCACTATGAACATGTTGAAGAGGAGCGAGAAGCTGTACAAACCACATTTCCCAGCTTTTGCATGATCCCTGATGATCCCGGCGCTTTTCTTTAAAGTCATTTTTCTTTCTCCGAAGTTAACGAAAAGCTTTCAAAGTTGTATTGAACATCTAACACAAAAGTGTTAAGCATGTTGCTGATGAGAACAAATGATGTTTTGAAGTCATGAAATTTTCGATGATCCGCAAGTCGAAATTTGAGGTTTACCGAAAGATTCGACTTTTCAAAAACTTATTTGTTCTCATCAGCAACATGCTTAACACTGTTGTATTAGATGTTCAATACAACTTTGGAAGGTTTTCGTCAACTTCGGAGAAGAAAAATGACTTTAAAGAAAAGCGCCGGGGTTATCAGGGATCATACAAAAGCTGGAAAATGTGGTTCGCACAGCTTCTCACTCCTGTTCAACATGTTCATAGTGAAGGGTAGTGGGAATAATTACGGATAGGTACACAACGCGAAATCCAGGTATCTGGAGTTTCGAAATATAAAGCTTCCTTTTAAGCTGCAATCCCTTCCCCAGCGGGGAGGTTGATGCATGCGGCCCTAAAAGTAGAGGGAGGAGGGGAAGTCGAGGGTGAGGAAGATGGGGAGGGGAGGAAAGCGGATGAGTGGGCTACGAACTAAAAACTAGAACGCGCGCAGCGCATGGCGCAGGGGAAAGTAGAACATAATTTTTGTGGTATGAAGGTAAAAAAGAGGTTTCTGGTTTCTTTCCACTTATTCCAGGGTCAAGCAACACACAAGGGGCTACTGAAAGGTCAACGGAGACTGTGAATTTTTTCTGGAATTACAACGTGACTTCCTTTGGTGGATGCAGCACGTGCCGAACCCTAACTGCAAACGTGGTGGTGAGGCTATCGTGCAGCGCGGCCATTATCATCAGAATCTGTCTTTCACAGCCGTTACTCAATCAACAACATATTTATTCGATAAAAAAATTGCAGCTGAATTACTGCACAACCTTTCACATTGCCCATTTTGGCAAAGCAACAAGAAATGAGACGGTAATATGCACAATTTGCAATGAGCTTGCTTTTCTTCCAAAACGACGGAACGGTGTTTTCAGCATTTTGGCGTGCATTTTGTGTGACATATTCTCCTAATGACGTACGTACAGCGAGGAGGACGTCCTTGGCATTTCTAAATAATCATTTTATAAGAGCTAAGAGAGTAAATCTTCGAATCTTCTGAACTTTGTCTCTGCCCATGGGCGAGAAGTTTTTGACTTGAAAAATTACCACGCTAGCATTCATGCAATAAATATGGATCTGCTCCTTACCTTGATCCGTTGATTTTTACAGATTTTCAAGCAAAGTAGCCGACATTTAATCTTTCCGAGGCTTACTACAAGGATGGAAAGAAGCAGAAGGCTGATCAGCAAGAAGTTCATTGCTTCTGTCGAGTTGAAGATTTACGAATGCTAAGTGGCGCATTTTCACTTACTTATATACTGCTAGGTTTATTGAACCGCAGTGAACGAAGAAAGTGCCGCTAAGTCGCATATTGTCTTATTCATGCGATCGTTGATGTCTTAGACGTCATTGGTGATTTCTATCCTCAACATGGAAATTTCGAAGACGGAGCATCTTTGTGTAATTAACATCTTGCTGGTGAAAAAATAACTCTTGTGGGAAGCTCGGGAAGGTACTTTTGCTGCTTTGAAAAAAACAGATTTTTGTGCGTAGTCGAATTGTGCTCATTAGAAATTAGCTGGCATGCCCGCCCTCGCTCGCATCGAAGATTTCACTGGCTCAACAAAGAGCAAGCTCAACCCTTTCGTTTTGGATTTCTTCTACTTTTCGTGCAACACAGGGTAGACTTCCTGACCGTATCGCCTTGAGTTACCGCATCACACTGATCATGGAATAGAAATGTGTTCTAACGCTATTATTTACATGAAAGTTGAATGTGGTTTAATAGTATTGATGAGAGTTCATTTTTCTTCAAAATCGATCAATCAGTGGAAGGAGCGGGAATTTTGCCGCGAAAAGTAGCCTACGGGGTGGGCCGGCGTCGAAAATATATGTTTGCGAAGTTTCGTGCTGATTGGTCTACTTACAAAAGCTCCTAAAAGAACACACTAACCAGCAACTTACCAACTCTCAGCTCTATATACAGTCCTGGCCAAAATTATAGGTCCACTCCAAAAATGCCATAACTCACTCTGTTGTGAATGAAATTTTCCAAAATTTGATAGAGACGTGTGCTTACCAGCCTACTATCAGTCTTCAAAACGGTTCTCGTTTTCGTTTAATTATTCAAGAAGAAATTAGAAATTTTGAAAAAAGCAGGCTTAGGCTGGCGAAAATTATAGGTCCACTCCAAAAATGCCATAACTCACTCTGTTGTGAATGAAATTTTCCAAAATTTGATAGAGACGTGTGCTTACCAGCCTACTATCAGTCTTCAAAACGGTTCTCGTTTTCGTTTAATTATTCAAGAAGAAATTAGAAATTTTGAAAAAAGCAGGCTTAGGCTGCGAAAATTATAGGTCCACCTGGAGTTTTTACTGACCAAAGCACTTCTTAGCTCCCGAATATTTTTAGGTAGGCACACATCCAAAAACGTTAAACAGCTGCATTGGTCAAGCTGTGTCATACCCCCGAAAAGAACTGATTATCTGCTTTTTTGCCTTGAAGATGCACTCACATGTATTTCGCTCCACAAACCTGCGTTGAGTAAGGAATTCTGCAGTTTCTCAGCTGGATCGGAAGGGACGGGGTTTCATTTATCTTCTGGATGCTTTTTGACGTGAGCATTGAGGAAAAAATCTGACTTTTTGCTGCTGAAGCAAATCTGACATCGGCTTAATCGGCAGAGTAAGCCTCAGTTTCTGCCCTAAAACTCTTTATGCATTGTCATTATAACCTCAAGATATTGTGGAAGCATTTTTTACACAAGAACAAAGCTGTTCGCCATACTCGCAAGTGTCCACAAAGCTGCCTTGCTTCTTTTTCATTTTCATTTTCATTTTCATTGAATACGCTCAAGGCGTACCATAAAAAAAACAGAAACAACCAGTGTAATTGTTAGTTTTACACAAAGCACGAATAACAACAGAACATCATATGCTTCAGGCCCAGACTTCATAAAACTAAAGAATAACGACTTAGCTTGCAAGAAGACTGCTGGATATTACGAATGTCAATGATGAGTTATATCCACAGAGATGGAACCCATGCCCCCGCGTTAGCCAGCAAACGATCTTAAAGTATTCAAACAAGCAAACGACGGCGGGTACATACCCACCGGCCTGCCGGGGAGAGCCCAAAACTCCATGAGCATTGCCAAAAACTCCAGGTGGACCTATAATTTTCGCCAGCCTTCAAGCCTGCTTTTTTCAAAATTTCTAATTTTTTCTTGAATAATCAAACGAAAACGAGAACCGTGTTGAAGACTGATAGTAGGCTGGTAAACACACGTCTCTACCAATTTTTGGAAAATTTCATTCACAACAGAGTGAGTTATGGCATTTTAGAGTGGACCTATAATTTTGGCCTGCACTGTATGTGTAGACGAATAACGGTGGGATGACTGCTTTGTCGAAGAGGATAACATGATACAATCTCAGATCTATGCACAATTTTTGAGAAGGAGAAAAAGTGTACTACCTGCTTGGCTTTTGCTTCTACAAACTTCGGTAGGAAGTATAACGTTTCCAAAACATGTAAATTTTTTGTGCTTCTTTGACCTATCCTTGTTAGGCTCGTTATTTGTGCCCGAAAGAGAATAAGTGTGGTAGGTGTACTGTATGAAAGTCAGAGATTTATCGAATCGATTAGCTTTGGCTAGAGCGTTAACAGCATCTACACCGTTAATCTGGAAGACAAGGTCCCTATCTCATTGGCACAAAGTAGTACCCTCTGTTTCATTAGGAGTGATGGGGCTCGTGTGGCTCGAATCCCGCGCGGCCGCTCGCCTGGGCTATACCCCTCCTTCGCTGCGTGCTGTCTAGTCATTTCTTCACGCTTAGGCTCGGAATTTTTACGTTCTCGAGGAGAATGATCGGAGAGCAGCGAAAGAGGTGCAGGGCCCAAGGCCTGTAGTAAACCCCCCGTATGTGCTGACGTATAGCTCGGAGTCTGCCGTGACATGTGCTGACTAACATGAAGCGAGGCAGGCAAGGCGGCTATCCTTTATCATTGCCGGCGAACGCAATCAATGCGAAGCGCCAGGGTAGTCCCACTTTGTCGCTATATATCGCGACATATCGCGACATATAGCGACATATTGCGACATGTCGTGACGGACGAGACGGCGAAATACTTTGTCCATTATGGAGACGCAGAGACATAGCGCAGGACTAGAGCTCGACTACGCCAACCTCGCAATAGGTCGCACATGCACACAGTTCTCTATAACGCACGTCGACTGCAATCAATATCAACAGCTGACAAGCGCCTAACCGTTCGACCAACGTGCCTCTCCCCATTTCTTAGGTATTCTTGCTGCTCTACGCTTTGGCATTCAGAAAAGGTGAGTTTGTTTCGATTGAAAAGTTTATTAGATTCGATTATGGTCATATTTTATCGTGCTTACGCTAAATTTCTTCTTTATTCACACGATGCATTCCATTTGT